TCATTACATGAAAGTCCATGGTATGTGGATCTTGAACATTAGTGTGTATCACAAAATTGTTCCCCAAATTGTTTTTACCTATTTACATTTCATGTGCGGTAACAACACTGCCAGTTTTTGTACTGATGCCCTAATAGTACTATCTGGATCTCATTGTGGACAATATTTTTTAACCAAACAATACTCCTGGGCTAAGCCACCTGGCTTTAAATTGTGCAGCATTGCATACATATTCATAACCCAGTAGCTGGTGGTGCAGTTACCACGTTTCCCCAAACCAAAGTGGACAATAAATGGCCTATACCACATATCCTTAGTAAGAAAAGTGAACCAGCGGCCTGTTTATATTTCTATTTTCTTTTGGGGAGATGAAAATTTCTAGAGACAGCATTGCAGTTTTGATATGGCTAATCCTCTTGCGTTAGCTTTTGATGATGATCAAAGTCTCGCTAATGTAAACTAATTGAAGGCTTTGGAGATGCTGGGTTTTGATTATATAAAGAAAGAATTTAATTGCTTTTAATTATATACATTAATTGAAACTTTCCTAGGCTAATAATGATGACCTAATAGGCATGTTGCGATTAGATATGAGTAATAATACTTAGAATATTAAACATGCTTGGACTATTGCTGAATTCCATTTTTACTGCAAAGAGTGGGTGGTGTTTAAAATGTTTTTTTATTCTTATGAGTATGTTCATATTTACCTTACAATGTAATTTGAATATAAGGATGGTTTGGATTACTGATCATGAATTGAGAATGATGTTTTCTTTGTAGTTGATGGAGAATATCTGCCAACCTCTTACATAAAAAGATTTCTTTCTGGTTTACATTGGTTGAATTATTTTAGAGTATTAATTTATTGCACACAGAGAATGACTAAAATGGCTATAGTTTTTAAATACAGAACAATGTTGTAGAAATTATCAGGATGCCAATTTCTTTAAAGATATTCAGAATATGAATTCCAATCCTAGAAGATTTTTAGACATATCGCTTCCACTTAATCTCCCTTTGTGGAACTTGTCAGTAAGCCCTGTGCAAACAGCAAAACAGCGATGGCTAAATCCTCTTAGGAATCCATATAGTACAGGATCAGGGATCATAAAACCTGAGTTCTATTCCAGTTTCTTTGACTAATTAATTATTTTCTGTTACTAGGCAACCAATTTCCTGTTTTCTACCTTGGTTTCCTTATATGTACATGCTTTTTTAATTTTTTTTATTTTTTATCCTCACCCGAGGACATTTTTCCATTTTTTGCACAGACAGAGTGGGAGGGAGAGAGAGGAAGAGAGAGAGAGAGGGAAACATCGGTGTGAAAGGGACACATCAAGTGGCTGCCACCCGCACGACCAACCAGGGCCGGGGACAAACTGCAACCGAGGTACATGCCCTTAGCGGGAACCGAACCCGGGTCTCTCCGGACCGCAGGCGGACGCTCTAACCGCTGAGCCAAACCGGCCAGGGCATATGTACATGCTTTAATATATATGGTTGCCAGAATAAAATAGTTTTATTTATTTTATTGTATTTTTTCTATTAAAATTTTTTAATGTTGACATAATTGCCCAACTTCACCCACACTTCACATTGGCTTCATTTTTATAATACTATAGGTAATTTTAAACTAAAGTCCTTTATGAATTTTTCACCAACTGACAACAGTTGAGAATGGAGAGGACAGGAAAGGTGAGTGATGTAAGGAAATTATGACTTTTAAAATTTTAATGTAATAATTTAAATTGTCAACAAATAAGTTGCCTATCATTTGAGTAGTCTCTAAATTGTATACAACTGAATATTATCTAAACTGTATATAATTTTGGTTACTAGATATAAGCTTTTCTTCCATCAGCTTTTTTTCTCTTTTGTTGAAACTATGCAAGAATAGAGGAGAAAAATAGAATTTTTTTCAGTCCCATTTATTGTGATAACTGGTGTATTGTGCCAGGTATGTTTGGGATTGGGTGAAGTGATTGTATATAAAGTACAAATGTCTTGAAAGGACTGGCCTGGCTTTGCTCCTACTGTTTCCATCAATCCGTCCTTCAGCTGGGGCGACTTCATCTCCATCTGTAAATTTCACTAGGTCCCGGTTCCCAGACCAAATGCTTTGTATTTAGGCCAAATTTAAGAAGCTCCAATGACCAGCCTAGCAGCCCAGCCGTGTCAGTCTAGCAATTTGTCTCCCTGTTCTGGAATCAGCACGTTTAGTCACTGAAGTCCTGCCTCATCTAATGGTGTCTGAGTCTCTTACTTCCTGCTCTGTCCTCTTGCCCTTTTGAAGCAGTAAGTAGCCTTGCCTTTTCCTTAATGGGTAGAATTTTCTCCCAGGGCTCCAGTTCCCCATGTCGCGAACCTGATACCTGCTTCTATGTCTTCCTGGGCTGCATTACTTTTAAGTAAGTTTGAATCTTACCATTGGCAACTGCGTCATACCTCACCCACCTCCTGTGCAGGGGCCAACTTCTCAGCACTGGACGGCTCTGCACTTACCAGCCAGTGTCTGTAGGGCCTCTGCTTCTAGTGTCCTCGCCCCACAAGTTCTGTCATCTGCTTCCAGGACCTGAGGAGGTGGCCTACCAATCAATAGGTCCACCTGATCTCTGGTTCTGAGTTCCTTGGACTAGTCAGTATGCGTCAGGTTCTAAAGTGCTCCAGTGCAGGGAACTCTGTCTTAAAGGTCTTCCTTACACAAAATTTCCCTCAAAGACATTTTTTTTCTCTTTAGACTGTCATATGTCTCATGTGGCAGAGGAGCTAGTGACTGTTCTTGGGCATTTGGTGGACTTACAGATCCATGGCAGAGAGGACTGGGATCTTTAGAACAGAAATGAAGAGAATCCAATGCACATTTACTTTGCCCCTCAAAAAACCAAAAACCAAACAAAAAATAACCCAACACCCCAAAAACTCCCAAAACTCAAAAAGATGCAAAAATGACCAGCTCATGATGATCATTTAAATGACGGAGCCTTCTCACCAAAGACTTAAGTACTCAAGACAGGCACAACTTGTAATGACTAATGAACATTGGTCATAGATTTTGGTGGATAGAGAGATGACCAGAGAAAACTAGTAAATAATTCTGTAGCTCTTAATTAAATTAATGCCTTATTCTCTCCATAAAAAAAAAAAAAGAGAGAGGCAGAAGCATAAATTTAATAGCTCCCCCGCCCCCAAATTACCAAATTAAGTGAATTTTGGTGCAGTTGAATTAGTCCTTTGATGTTAAGTGGATTGATTTTTGTCATTTTTGAAAGGGTATGGTACACTTACTTGCCATGGTAATACATTTGGAAGGGGCCTATTTTGGAGGTAAATGTAAGTGGACCCATATGTAGTTTTAAAACCCGTGGAACTGTTTGAGTGACATGTGACCATATTTCTAATGAAGAATGACTTGTTTCCAAGATTAGTGGGCCTAAAAACATTTAAATAGAATCCAAAAGAAATACTCAATTTTATTTCTATTATGGGCAAAACTATAAGAAAAAAATGTTTACAGAAAAGAGATGTATTAAGATGACAGAGTTTAGGATGACATTTAATTGAATGAGCACATTAAGAAGTTTATTACTGCCCCCTGCTGTCAGTTTCTAAAAGAAATATAGTAAAATTACTGTAAAAACTGACTTAAGGTGAATTAATTGAACACACTGTTTAGGAAAAAAGATCCCTGCCTCTAATTTTACCATATTTTAGCAGCTAAGGCTTACTCCGTGTTTGTGAGCAATGATTGGTCAAACTGGAAAAACAGACTCTAGTACAGTAAGTATTAGTGGATATAGGGTGAGAGGTAAAGTTTGAGATTTTTTTTAGCCAACGATGTCCTTTATTATTTCTCCAAATTTCATAATTTTGCATTTACTTTTTAATATTTACATAATTTAGGTAAAACACGTTTCATTCATAAAAGCCAAACTCTGAAAATAAATAAATGAATGGTTTATTTTTTAGAGTATAATCCTAACTTGAAATATTTTCATTTTGGCATATGAAATGAAGAAATGAGAAATAATACAAATAGTAGGTGCCACCAACGTAGCTGTCTCTAGGTGTAAGGCCTTGTCCCCCTCTTTCACATGTTTCTTATATAGGCATCATAAAACAGAATGAGGGAGGTATTATTGTGATTTCTGTTTCACAGATGAAGAAATGGGGTCACAAAGTAACTTGCCTTCTTGGTAAAAGGTGGAGCCATGATTGGAAACCCTGTAGTCTGACTCCAGTGTTCCTCCTCCCAACATTCTGCATAGAAGATATACACTCCGTAATTAAGGAGAGAGAATTTATAGACACTATAGTGGACATGGTAATGTGCATTGACTCCAACGAACGGCACACTCATGTAATTGTGACTCTTTCGTGGTCCCTGTGCCCTAGTGGCTACAGTCTGTGAGTGAACAACAGACCAGTAGCGCTCTCACTCCGGTTTGATTTTGTTAGGCAAGGTCTGCCCTCCTCGGTTGCACCCCGTGGAAGGCATGCGGGTGTGCTTACCTTAGTGTGCCGACTGAGCCCAGGCTTGGCCCAGTCACATATCAGGGGCTAGTCTTGTGGATGCCTCTGCGCACGTGTGCCAGACAACTTCTGTGTTAGCCGCACTCTCCAGCAACTCCCGTTCCAGACGGGCGCCCCTGCCCCAGTACTACTTGGAATAAATCGGGTGCACATTTTAAGTGTCCCTGGCTGTCATGCCTTCCGGAGTCTAACAGAACAACCGGTGTGTGCTCCTCTGTGCGCATCTGGTCCTTTGCCTTCCCCACCCCCGGTATTCGGTGGCTCATGACAACAAATACAGTCCAGCAGGCACCAGGAGGTCGACTAGTCTTTGCAATTCGGGGACGCCTTCGCCTTGCAGGGACTTGGAAACACTATTCAGGCTCCAGAGGGCTGACTGTACAGGAAATCCCTTCTCTCCCCCCACGAAAGCAAAACTACAACTCAACATAAATCCATAATCACAGTAAAAAAAAAAAAATCCTTACCTGACTCGAGGAGTTGGGTTTCCAGTGACTCGACACTCCAAGTAAACTCGGCTCCCTTCTGCCACCTCTTGGCTGCGCAGCTTCTGGATGAACCGAGGGGCGCACGGGAAGAGGAGAGCGCTCTGCGGCTGTGGGTGCGAGGTGCTGGCGCCTGGCCCTGCCTCGCCCTGCTCTGCCCCGAAGCGATGCCTGGCCTCGGGGAACCTCACCTCCGCTTCCATTTCCTGCTGCTCCGCCGTGGGGCTGTGGCTGGCGCAGGCGCCCCTCAGGGCCGACGGCTGATTTTTAGGAGACAGGTACCCACTGTCGGGCGAGGAGGACTCCCCATTCGGGCTTCTGTTTCGTGGCTTCGCCGCTTCTCTGAAGATGGACGTCAGCTCGTCGATGAAATTAGCCGCCTTGTCGCACAGCTGGCCCTGGGCGCCAGCCTGCCCTTGATGGGCCGCTTTGGGCTTTCCACCCGAGCTGGGCGTTTTGGGACCCCGTTTGTCCGCCTTCCGCAGGCTGCGGATGTAGCTGGGTCTGGCAAGCAGGGGTGAGAGGGCAGGATTCCTCCGGGAACCAGGCGAGGAGATGCGCGGCCCCTGCTCGGGCCTGGCATCCCGAGGTCTTCCCGGGGAGGCCGGCTGGCCCACCCGGGTCTCCTCCCGGGAAGGGTTTTCACGGAGGCTCCCCGGAGCGGTGTGGAAGATCTGGGAGATCTCCTTTTCCGAGTCAAAATCTTCGGTCTCGGAGTTGGCTATGGCTCTCCGGGCCAGGTCAAGGCTCTTGTTGATCTCTTCCTGGCTGAGAAAAGCAGATAGGCCTGGGAAGAAGTCAGCATTCTTGCTTTCTTCCTGCACGTCTGATAGGGAGTCATAGAAGGAGTCATGGGAGGAAGTCTCTGACATGTTTGGATAGTCTTCATACACTCTCTGTCTGCGGGGGACAGGAAGGCCAGCGGCACTGGAAATCAGTCTACTTCTGTCCTGAAAGACAACACAGACAGGCTTGCCATGAGCAGTCATGGTGTGTGTGTGAGATCCTGATACTGCTAATTGACAAATTGGGAGAAACGTTAAGGTGAACAAATATCCAGTTGCCCCTGAACAACACGGGTTTGCCCTGCCTTTTTATTTTTATTTTAGTAAATACGGCCTGCCCTACCTAGCCTCAGTTTCGCACCTGTGGATTGAGCAAGCTGTGGTGGAAACAGCATTTTCTTATCCCCCCTGCAGATTTGCAACTGGAGATTAGAAAAGACTCATTTCTAGCTGTGGTTGGTTGATCCCCAGCTGCAAAGGGCCAACTGTAGCTAAGTTTTGGGGAAGCCAAAGGTCATGCACAAATCTCTGACTCCAAAGGAGGAGGGGTGTTGGTTCTCGTAACCCCTATGTTGTTCAAGGGTCAACTGTACTTTTTTAAAAAATGATTCCTATCTATTCTGTAAATTGGAAGAAACATTAAGTGTGCTTGTATCTGTCATGATAAGATTTGCTCTGTGAGTGAATCTGAATGATGTTCCTGAGACAGGCCAGTGAGCCAGGACCAGTGGAATAGGGAAACTGAGACAGACAGCTGAACAAACTGACAGCAATTTATAGCAGATACAGGTCTAGAAATAACATCTCCCTAGAAACAACATCTAGGCCTCAGTTGTATTTCAGCTCCAGACCCAGAAAATCAGCAAAACCAGGTGGGGGCTTCTAGGAATATACCCTAAGAAGCCTGAAACACCAATCAGAAAAAATATATGTACCCCCATGTTCATAGCAGCACTATTTACAATAGCTAAGATCTGGACACAGCCCAAGTGTCCATCAGTAGGTGAATGGATAAAAAAGCTGTGGTACATATACACAATGGAGTACTATGCAGCTGTAAGAAAGAAAAATCTCTTATCCTTTGAGACGACATGGAGGGACTTGGAAAGTATTATCCTAAGCGAAACAAGCCAAACAGAGAAAGACAAGTATCATATGATCTCATTTATTTGTGGACTACAATGAACATAACAGTCTGGGGAACGGGGTAGTCCCAGAGACGTGGAAGTGGGGTACAGACTGACAATCCCCAGAAGAGGAGGTGGGGGAGAGATAAACCACAGAACTTATATGCATGTATGCATGAACAATGGACACGGACAACAAAGCTGGGGACAGGGCAGGGGGAGAGGGTGGGGGCTGAATCAGTGGGGGGAAAAAGAGAAACATCTGTAACAAAAATAAATTAATTAGTTAAAAAAAAACACAAAACAGGTGGGGGACAGAAGGACCAACTGCAATGACTAGCGAGCCCCTGCTCTGACACTGACCAGTCGGTGAGGACCACAGCCTTGAAGGAGCACACCTAGAAAATGGATGAATATTCTGTTAACATCTTCCCAAGACCTCCCCTGAATTCTCGCCTGCAAGAGAAACTAAAAGCCTCAAGACAAGGACACAGCACACGCTCTCCTTCCCAGGAGCATGCCCACGTGGCCCCTCATTTCTTCCCCCACAAGCATGCATCTCCTAGACTCGAAGGGACCCCATGAGACTTGCAACCAGGGCAGCAATGGGCAGTGGCAGTTCAAGGCCCCCTTTTCTCTGACTTCTGAGTGAGCGAGCCAAAGCAGAGCAGCCTAGGCTCCCTTCCCCAGCCCTTTCTTATTTCACTGTCCCCAGCTTTAATAAACGTCCTCTGACATTCACCTGGACTCGTGTTGTGGAACTTGTCCTGCACGGAGTCAAGAACCCACCCAGGACTGGCCCGGCCCTGGGCAGACCTGCCCAGGACCAGGTCCCCTTTCTGGGAACATTACTAACCAGCGTTGAGGAAGTCAAGGGGACAGCTGCAGGAGGCACTGTAAGTGACTATGAGTGGAGTAGGGCCTCCTTCCCTCCCCACCCCCACACACCTTACGGAAGCTCTAATCTCATCAATGTGATGAGATTCGTCACTTATTGATATTTTCAGTAAAGCTGACCCTGCTTAGAAAATAACCACAAAATACATTTTTATTCCAATCTTCACTCGTTTTAAGCCTTCGGTGAACTATTTGACACCTTATTGTCTCATCCTTTCCTGTGTCCAGCCATGAGCATTCATGTTCATTCATTCCACAGTTAGTTTAACACAGAGTTAACAATCACTTAGAAAGTTTCAGGTGCTAGAGGTGTAGTCTTGCTCTAGACCAGAAGTGGCAAACGATTTCGTAAAGGGCCAGGTAGTTCATGCTTTTGACTGGAGGCTGTACCGTCTCTACGGGAATTACTCAGATTTGCCATCGGAACATCGAACCAGCCATAGAAACACGTACGTGAATAAGCAATAAAACATTATTTACGGACAGCAATATTTGAATTCCAGGTGTTTTTCATGTCAAAAATATTATTTTTCTTTTGCATTTGATGTTATACAACAGTTTAACAATGTAAAAATATTTTTAGTTTTCGGGTCATGCAAAAGCCGACGGTGGGCTGGCTTTGGCAGGGAGGCTGCAGACTGCTGACTCGGTCCAGACTGTTGACACAGTCCTTAAGTCATGTGGTGTGATAGCGGGGGGCAGTGGAGATGACACTAAACAAATCATATACAAATATTATAAAATTTGGATAGGGTGTTAAAGGAAAGGACAAAGCACTTGGTTGCCATGAAAGCCTTATCTAACCTTCAAAGACAGGTGAGAGAACTATGTGCCCTGAATAGGACATTTATATGGGAATAGTACCAGATTAAATAAAAGGTGTTTTGTTATCTGCCAAATAATTGCACATCAATTTAAATTCCACTGCATTTTGAACTAAGTATTATGAGGAAATGACTCATCGCTCTAAGAATGCTGCTGCTCATTTTCTACACATTGTTCATAGAATGATAGAGGGAAGATAAAGAAAACGTCAGTAGTGATCTTTGCCTCGTGACTGAGTCTGGAAGTCAACAAAGGAAGCTTGCTGGGTGTGGTGAAGCTCAACTTTGTAAGAAGGGTTGGGAGTAAGCTTGGAAGACATTCCTTCTCTGGAAGGCGAGTATGCCTTCTGAGGGTAGAACTGAGCTTCTTGTTTAGAAACAGTTTCCCATCTAGGAATTCTGCCTAGAGTGATGAGATTTTCTTTAATTAAGTGTAATGTTATTTTCTCTCATATAACCCAAAAGAGCCAGCTTGCATTTTTTGACCCCTGAAAGTCTAATCTCAAAAAGCATTATGTAGAGGCTTCCAGAAATGCACCTCAAGGATCCGCTGCCACAAAGGATGTGACGATTCACAGAATCTGCTAATTCAACAGAAGATTTGTACCCAGAGATCCTAAAGCTCATTAGCAACCCACCGTATCTTCTAGTTGAATATTATACCTGTGTCTTAGATGTCCTCTTAGAAAGATTACTCAATTTGTTGAGCCTGAGTTATGAGATTTTCTACATTCTAGTCCTATTCTACCTACTGAACCCTATTTCCTACTGTTGTCCAAGTAAATCTTACAGACCCGTTAGAGTGGTCTCGTCATTGTCCCACTCATTATCAACCCAAACAGTACTTCCTTTTTCAATCTGTGCTCCAGGATGGAACCATTCTGATTGATTCTTTAAATATAGCTCATGTATGGAGAAGAGCTAGATTCAGTGTATTTTCAATATTTGAATATATTTAGTTTTAATTCACTTTTTGTATTGAACTCAGTGCTGATAGAGATTGGGGAACATTTTATTACTGAACTCAAGTAGTTCACCACTTGGGGTGCTCTATTAAAAATCAAGATGCAGTTGCCACAAGGTAATTTTATTTGATTGCAGCAAGTAAAGGAGACAGGGGATACATATCCGAACTCTGCCTCTGGGAAGGGAGGCTTATATACAATGTGTGGTCAACTCCATGTTGATGTCTTCTTTTTGCAGTTGGCCACACAGTATCACATTGTGTTTCTGTCAAACTTATCCTGTTTGCAGCTGGTCTGCAAAACACCGTGCTACATTTTAACATTTGGCAAGAATAACAGTTAGTAAGAATGGCCCAGACCTTGAGATTCTTGTCCTATCTAACAATTTTGGGTCAACCACACCTGGAACAGGCTAAGCTGGAAGTCCAGATAGATATTGGAAACAAGCCTTTGATTCTGAAGTGACTAACTTTGAAACAGACACTGGGCTAGAGATACCATCTAGAAGAGAATTCCCCTTTCAAAATGTATTTATGGGGTATTTAGGACATGTCAAGCCATATGCTAGGCACTGAGATATCATTGGGAAAAGACAAGGTTTCTGCCCTCTGAACTTAATAGTCTACAAAGGATACATATAGGTAGTGTACATATATAGTTTAATGTGTCAAGTGCTGTGATGAGAGAGAACAAAGTGCTATGTTAGCATCTAGAAGGGACAACGGGGTGCAGAGTACACTCTTGGCAGGACATCACATGTTCATTCCCCTGTATGACCATGGACAGGTACCCCAAGTGCTGGAGGTTCTGACACTTCCAGTCCAAGGTCTCCAACTACAGCTTTTGCCTTTCGAGGCTTTTCCTTCCCACCCGCCACAGTGCTGTGGTCGGGTGGCTGCCAGAGGCGTGGAGGCTGGTCTCCAACAGCTGCCTCCCTGCCGAAGTTCTGTATCCCTGAGCTCATCCAGAAGGGCCCAAATGGTATTAAGGGTGGGGCCGTTTCCCTGTCTTGCTTCTGCGTGTGCGAGCTGGTGGAGTAATTTCTCCATGGAAAATGGCTTAGCTCTAAGGCAAAGCTTCATTTCCTTAGCCATCTGGAAGTGCATAGTTGTCCACTGGGTGGTGGCAAAGTGCGCGGTCTCAGAGACCTGTGGCTACAGCACACTTTGGACACAAAGGATCCCGGGAAGCAGACGATGAGCTGGTTTCTCTGCCACAGAGTCCTGTGTACCTTGATCCCTTCTCTGCACAGCACGTCTGGGAAGATCATGACT